GTGTTGTCATGGAACATAATTATATTGCCACCGGTCTTCAAGGTTGTTGGCATTATATGCAGGAACAGTTTTATTTTCGTGTTAAGTGAAAGAGTGACCCGCGTATGTCAGTTATTTTATTCCCTAACAGTTTAAGTTTTTAGTAAAATATACAACGTCAACGCAAGAGAATAATCTGTCTCGATTTTGTGCCGAATTCACTAAAATTCACTAAAATATAAAGAAAAAAACGAATAAAGTTATAACTGCATTATCAATTGGGACCTTCAGAAGATGACATATCCCCAGTTCCTCAAGTTTTAAATATTAGCCTAATCGCCAACTAAGTATCGAACAAAAAGGGGATGGACTAATTTTCAAATTGAAGGAATTCAAATTTTAGTAATTTTTAGATATTGGAGTAAGCATATGCTGAGAGAGTGGAGTGACCATATGCTGAGGGACTGGCTTATACACATATGCTGTGGTATGTCGCATTGGTGTTAGAATAGTTTATTTGACATTTGAAAAATGTAATAAGTGTCAAAAGTGTTAAAAGTGTAATGTCAAAAGTGTTAGACATGTAGAAAACTCCAGGCTACTCATTCGGTGATAGATGAATGTATATGAAAACACAAATGACACAACCCGTACCAAAAATCTGGATTTTCCTCGAAACACATTTTCAAGCTGACGGAAGTGCAGGCGGGCAGACAGACAGACGAGACGTCGACTATATTCCCATCCTTTATGTAAGGGGTATATGAAAAGTAACAATAATGTTCTACTACAATTGTACTATAGGTCATATATTGAATAAATTCTCTGCTTCTTTGTAACATTTTATGTCTCAAAATTATAACTATCATGGCACCAGTTTTTAAGCGTTTGTCGAAACCGGTGGCCAGTATAAAGAAACGAAAAATAATTTTATATCTTTTTTAATGATTTTACAATGAAACTCACAGGAAGGTGACATAAAACAGATTTATTCAAAATTCAAAATTTGGTGATATAAATATAACTAAACATCCATGATTTATTGCCAAAAGTACATGAAGTAGGTGTACAGACGAATAATTGACGAGTGAAATCGGCGTAGTCGTAAGTATCATCACTGAGTTTTAGTGGCATCAGTTTTCTTTTGTGTGGAGAAAGGCCGACGACAAACAGGGCGTAGATCTGACAGGATTTAATTCATCCTAAATTGTCCAATGTATATATTTCCTTTCTAAAACGATTAATACCCTGGACACATTTCCTACCATAGCTTTAGGTGGGAACGACACGAGGAAAAAATCTAGACATTGAATCAAGTCGCACTGTTATAAGTGTTGAAAAAACGTCGATATCACCATTACCCGGCATTGCCTCGTTGCATACTGTCTCAAGGAATTCATCCTTCCTTGATTATTATGCATTGAAAACAAGGCGCAATGATCATTGAGGATCTATGTCCAACTCTCGCTCAGGAGAGTCAAGTCGATATTTTGTGGATTCCATGCTCACGAGCACGAGAGCTACCTTAGTGCTATGGAAGATGAAACTAGCGAGGTAACTTCCGAGTGCGTGCGTGTGTTTTTTGTTGTTCTTTTTTGTTGTTGTTTTTTGTGTGTGTGCGTGTGTGTGTGTGTGTGCGCGCGCGTGCGTATGTGGGTGGATATACAGGAATGGGGACGTTTGTACCGAAATGAATGCATTTTTTCCCTAAAAGCCAACCTGCTAATTGTTTTCCGTAGAGGTGTGCTTGATACCTCTACAATCATTTTATACCCGGCTACAATGTTGGTATACGGTAATTATCATGGTCTTATTATTTTTGGTGTATCATAGTGTATATTGTAGTGGTTAATTATTGTTCGTCTAATTAACGTTCCATTTATTATATCTCGCGTCTCACAATAGACGGCACTTAACATACAGGCATTAGCTATCGTGAGTGACTGAGTCTGGTTTGACGCTACTTTGAGCAGTGTTTTAGCTATACCACAGTGCGTCATCTTAATGTGGGAGGAAAGTAAAACAGATCTTAACAGGGAAGTGTACACGCAAAAATCACTTTCTTTCTAATTTCGAACTAAACGCAATTTTAGAATTAGTAAGGATTAGTGTTTGAAAATATACACTAATTTTTCTCACAGTGAAAGTGGGAAGCTCACAATAAGTGTGAAAATGTTATGTTGTTATGAGACCTTCGTTTTACCAGCTAAACAGGCCTGAGTTATCCCCCTTAGATTATGACGTAATTGGTACCGACTTAACTCGGTCCCTGTCTTGTCACAACGCAAAAGATATTAAGTACCAGTTTGTTGTGAGACAACATGGAATCTGATAACATTGCCTGATGCGAAGACGTTCCCTTGACCCATGAAGAAATCGCAAAACCATACGCTTATGAACCAACACGAGCAAGTTTCGCAATATGGATACGATGAAAATCAAGTGGAAACAAGAGAAGACCCACATCACCTGATGTGTCACCCGATCCCGAATCGACATGTACACAGTTACCAACGTGGTAAGAATAACACTTTTAATACCTAAATTACCTATATGCTTATTACATTTTCAGAAGCGGAAACGTAATATTCTAAGAGATATTTGTCACGCCTGGTGACCAGCATGTTTCGTCAGCTGGGCTATTCATCCTGTCCCACCATGTTACGACCCTATCGCCGGTATCGGCATTGTCGTCATTCTAAGTTGCCTATTTAAGGTACACCTATTCCCACCACCTATAGGGGCGGTCGGGTAGCCTAGTGGTTAAAGCGTTCGCTCGTCACGCCGAAGACCCTGGTTCGATTCCCGACATAGGTACAATGTGTGAAGCCCATTTATGGTTTCTGGCAATTCGAAGAGATACGACTGTGTCACACGTGCCCTTCACAAACATAGTTCTGCAAAGATGCTATGTTGTTCATGTGTAAGATTGATTTGGTTGGGACATACTATTTGAATAGTTCGATATATGACATAAATATATATATATATATATATATATATATATATATCATTGTAGATTACCAAGTTTGTTGTTATTATCGACGCATGTAGCAATTTATTAGTGTTCATGTAACGCACTACTTATTATCTATGGTTCTGTCCTATTACACTCACATACGTGTTGTGGTCCACGAGTATTTCGCTGACTCAGTGTGAGAATTATGATCACCTGCGAAACCCTCTTGAAATAGACCGCCTCCGTGGTCTAGTGGCAGAGCGTCCGCCCGGAGAGCGGAAGGTCCGGGGTTCGATCCCCGGCCGCGTCATACCAAAAGACGTTAAAAGATGGTTCTTGTTGTTACCCTGTCTGGCGCTCGGCAAAAAGGGGCTAAAACAAGGACTGGTCGGCTCGGAGTCAGTATGCTGTGTCTGAGTGGGGTATTCCTGTTAAACTGCGGCATGATATCTCAGTGAGCTAGCACTATAAATCGGCATTAGTCCGGACTAGTAACAAGCAGCCTCACACATACATACACATGCATGCACGTCGCTATATAAGTGCAATAATCTTGGACGCGACGTTAAACCCCATTTCACCTCACCTCTTGAAATATGTTTGTGGTATTACGCTGTCGGATTGTACGTGGCATCGTGTGCAGAAGTTACAAATATACTGATTACACATGCATGAGGTGTAATTTAAATTTGTGACATAAACTTTTTCCCATGACAACGAATACAAATCAATACATACAGTGGGCGTACAACCATCCGGTGTTCAGTATCGAAGGAAAATACTCATTAATTAAAGATGTGTGCGAGTCAACCATGCGATATATTTTGCTTTAAAACGTTTCCCCTGTATATGTTAACAGACTGAGGGGTAAAGGAAGGAATACCGAGTAATCGAAATCTGAGTGAGTGATTGAGTGAGTGAGTATGGTTTAACGCCGCTTTTAACAGTATTCTAGTTATATCACTGGGTGTCAGCTTAATGTGGGGGGAAAGCCCGAAGTGATGCAGGTTTCAGACGTTTACCATTTCGGTGAAACCAACGAGCATGGGTATGGTGCTGACAAATCTAGAAATATATTCGGGGCGAACCGGGATTCGAACCAACAATGACAGGTTTCTGGCGTGCCCAAGAGATGCAACTCTGCACAGCGAATCGCGGCGCCTGAGACGACTAGGACACCTGTGTCCCCAATGGAAAACTGAAAGAACTGTAGTTACATTTAATTGTGTTATCTATTTAACCACCAATCATTCCGGCAAGAATTTGATTGATATTTCTTTATTCATTTCGCACTGTAGGGCATCGGCCCATTGTACATTTAGATAGTCAAGTCCACAATGGACATTAACTAGCTTCTGATATTCATGGCAAGAATTTGTAAAAAGCAAACTGTTGCTGGGTACTTTTATGTAAGAATAGATTGGTTCTATGACGACTGGGGTAAGAAATGACCCCTACCATGTTCGAAATGAAAATTTGTGCCATAAAAGTAAATTCCTTGATTTTTAAAGAGATAACCCATACGATGTTGGATATTGTGCGAAATCTTATGTTTTAATTTTTAAATTTTCTAAACAAAATTTCATATTAAAAATATAACCTTGGATAGGGTGTTGAGTAAGTTTCTTCTTTGAAAGTAGTATCGCTGACATAAGATAATTTCAAATGAAAATCAAACATGTTGATACAATCATCTGAGTCGTTTCTTTTGCCTGAGGCTCTCAGCCTTTATAAATAACATGGAAGTTATACCATATGTTCTTGTCTGTAGACGTTATTGTTATTGACATTTTAAACATGAACAAACAAGCAAGCAGAAGGAAAGATCACTAATCGTAGGCAGTTTTAGATATGCTTGTACATGACATATACTCTTACAATCAATAGATGCATTACCTTGTATATTTCACGGCTTTAAACACATTGAAACTGCATGCATTATTAATGGACAAATTCGACGTGTAAATATGTTCTAATGAACCACTTAAATTTCCCATTTTCGGGTCGTTGCCATGGGCACATATAAACATATTGATACGAAAGGTGTACATGCATGGCCTAAGCAATAGACATACATTGAAGAGAGCCTCAAAGCACTATGCCACGTCTAATTGTGAACTGGATTCGTAGAACACTATTTCTATATACAATTGTTGACTTTGTTGGTGCCATCGAGAAGACCTGTTCCCCTATTATTCAACTACCTGTACAAGAGAATTCAAGATTAACAGGAGCTGTGATTGACACTGTTATATCTTCAGGTGTTGTTACTTGCGCCAAAGAATGCCTGTCAAGACATGCGTGCAAGTCCTACAACTTTCATCTTGATGACGGGACATGCGAGCTCAATAGTGAGGATATCGCAAGTATTGATGGAGCAGTGTCAGCTACAGGGGTGAAACGCTTTGTGTTCTCTGTGTCACAAAATTGGCCGCAGGTGAGTTTACCTAAATTGTTAAAATTTATTCAAATATTTATTTCATCACAGTTATTTATACATACATATATAGGTCAGGCAGATCACACAGTAACCGGACTTAATAATGGTATTTATGATTTTTTTGTGTTTATAGAAACCTATACGCTGAATGAAAAATAGTAATGTTGACAAATACAGAGAAATGGTAGAAGAACAATCATATCTTGATGTTAATCTATTAATGTTTCGAAAGATGTCATCATAACAAGATTCTTGTATTTTGCTTTTAACATTGATTCGTTCTTTTAGACACTGGTTTGCCTGACCCAGGCTCGATTATTTACATGACATGATATGGCTGGAATATGCTGATTGTGGCGTAAAGCAACATTTACTCCATTGTCGATCTTTAAAATTATGTTTACAGTTCATAGAATCAGTTACAAATGTCATAGTGTATATACTATATTTTCATTATATATTGACAATTGATTCTGATAAAACTCAATCTCCCACCAGAGAATACTTGGTGCATGTAAAGACCACAACTGTCCTTTAAACACACGGTGTGTGGAAGTAAGGAGCAATACCTCGCTGTGTGTTATAACATGTAAGTATGTTGTACTAAAATACTGAACCGTAAAAGAAACGTCACTATGGATAGATATATGAGAAACCTTATTCGTCCAAACACTGTCAACATACTTTGAGACATATTAAAAAGATGAAACTTGGCAAAACTGATCATTAAGGTTGAAATTAAAGTGTCAAATATTCTTAAAGTGAAACACAACACTAGTCTCTGTAAAATGGCATCACAAGTTAGTATCTCGTGTGTCCGCCATGTGCATTGATGACTGCCTCGCAACGTCGATACATGGAATGGATGAGGCGGTTGATGAAGGCCATAGGCACTTGAGCCAACACTCCGAGGAACGCCTGACGCAGTTCAGCTGCAGTTGTCGGCCTTTGTCGGACGTCATTCAGCCGTCTTTCCATCTCGTCCCACAGGTTCTCAGTCAGATTTGAATCGGGGCTGAAGGCAGGCCACTGCATGGTTCTGATGCCATTCTGCTGGAGGAAGTCTCTTGTTGCTCTCGCAATGTAGGCACGGGCGTTATAATCCTGAAACTCGTGGTTGCGGCGACGTGCCAAATGAGGTATGGCGTGTGGTCTCAAGACTTGATCAATGTACCGAGCTGCTGTGACACCATTGCCTCTCCCTGGACCGATGTTCTGGAAGACCACAGGGCCGACCATCTGTGCAAGACCAATTCCACCCCACACCATGATGCTGGGACCACCACTCTCTAAACAACACAAGCATTCGAATAACGTTCCCCGCGGTGTCGCCAGACTCTCCCTCTGCCATCTGCTTTTGAGACAGTCCCGGCGATCACGTGGTGTCAGAATGGGTCCTCCGTGTGGCCTGTGACAGTGGAGGTGTCTGCTCGCCAATCCTAGACGCACGGTGTCCGCACAAATGTGTCGCTGGTGTGTCCCCATGGTCTGCCGAGCGGTTTCCGCAGCAGTAACAAAGCCATCTTGAAGATGCTGTCGCACAATCTGACGATCCCGACGTCGGGTGGTGACCCTTGGTCTTCCACTACGTGGTCGGTCATCTGTAGTGCTGGCGGTCTGGTACCGTTGCTGGAGCCTGTATATGGTCCTCATGTGGACTTGAAATGCATTTGCTCTTTGCCGGGCGGTTTGTCCATCTTGCAATCGTCCAAGGGCTTGGAGTCGCTGATTTCTTGTCAATCTTGGCATGTTGTAGCAATTCAATAACGAATGAATGTTATCCGATCTGGGTGGATTTTTATAGGGCAAGAAATGGGGGAACGCGTGTGCATTTCAATTTGCACGGAACTCACGTGCATCTGGTTACCATGGCTGTTGTCGTGATGCGTTTTGGCGATCGGTTTTATTGTCATCTGCTTTCATCAAATTTCATTTTTGCGGACAAGGAAATGTTAAATTTTAGAAACTTTGATCAAGATTACCCAGATATCTAAATGACAATTGTTCATGCAATGTTACTTGGGGTGACGTTTTTTTGCGGTTCAGTATATATTGATTGCATCCCTGGCATAATGAAGGCACGTCTGAACCGACGCTATTCGTTGTGCAGAGTTGCGCTCCTTGAGCACGCCAGAAACCTATGAATAGAATCCCGGTGCGCCCCTGTTATGTTTTTTTTATAGTTTTTTTCAGTGCCAAATGCTCTTGGTTTATCCGATGTAGTAAACGTCTGAGACCTGCATTACTTTGGGCCTTCCCTTCCACAATAATCTGACATGTCGTGATAGCACTGGAATACTGTTCGAAACGGCATTAAAGCCAACTCATTCACTAACTCCTGTCCTGAAGTTGTGGTTGTGTGGATGCTTGAAATTAGAATCCATTTTTATTGTTAAAATAGTTGGCCATAATTGAAAACATCACGTCCTGCGTCACCGTGGGATTACAGTTTTGCCTAAAGTTTGGGACACAAAGGTAAACTTCAAAGCCTAAATAAATATATTTTTTCAGATCTTCTTGTTGTAGTAACACAAATACTTCGTCTATGTCTTTAACAAAATTACCAGCACCTCCCCTACTCCCCATTTTTTAACTCTTTCCGAAATAATGTATTGCTTTAATTGTCAGTAATAACGTTCACCGGTCTATTTTACAATGAACAAAATTTACATGCAAATAGCATGAATTCATGAATTATCAACCTACTGCATATTTATAGTGACAAAATACTTGTACACATTCCTGACGTCAAATGGGATATCACTTTGAAGACATGATACAGAACGAATGTCAATCATTCGAAAGATCCTATCGATTCTTTTAATTATTTGGTAGAGAATATTAAACAGTTCTAAACCATAGCTTTCGTTTTACTGTTAACAAAATCGAAACTGTCACACCGGTGCAATTCAGGACGAATCGCTATGTTTAACGTAAACTAAGCTTTGTCAGTAGCATCGCCCTTCACCTAGAGCTGAAACACCTTGTCACCTAGTATATACTGTATATATTCAAGAAATCGCTTTGTACTTCCTGTCTTAACTGAACAGTACATACTCGCAATACCACAGCTACATTGGGTAAATTGAGGTTCATAGAAAACACCAAAGAATGTAGTTGCTCGAATATATAATATCGACATGAATGGAAAGTTGAAGTCACTCCTCTTGTCAATCAAGATCGTTTGATCGTTTTTATCGCCCTGAATCTTTATGAATACATCCACATAAAACAGATCAGCCGGATTCATTGGTCTTTTTCATTTGTAGCTTATTATTCTATGACCACTAATTAACGATATCAGATCAGCAATATACCTGGCGCTACTTCTTGGCTAAATTCCCTTGTTTTGATTTTACCAACCTGAGAAGAAATTCTGATGTGTTTGCATAAAGAATATATCAGCAAGGAAACGAGCACAATGTGTTTGCATAAAGAATATAGCAGTAAGGAGACGTGCACACTGTGTGGTCATTAGAAAGCCTAGTTCTTGCCTAAATGTCCAAATTCCTAAATTCACTTTGATATTATTTATGATTCATTTCACATATTGTTTTCTCGGTATACTTCAGATGACATTTACCTTCATTTTTGAGAACTTGCCCTAAACGTCTGAAAATAGAGATGTATCTATGTGTATGGTCACTGGGTTTTGGAGACATATGCCCCACCTTTTTAGAACCCACATAGTATTTAGGGACCGACCATGTGATATTCAAGGTGTTTGTTATTGAAAACTACGATCCTGAATTCCTTTTATAGACAAACACTTTGCATCATTGTAATTTGTCAAAGGTCTGAAGCAAAATATGTTTTTCAAGACGACAATTTTATTTGTTTTCTATAAAATTGATAAAATGGTCGATCCCTAACTCCACTTGTCTCATTGCTTTCTGTGAATGTAATGAAAGATCTTTCGTGATTGTATCATTAATTAAATGGTTAAGCTTTGAGGCAGGAACTCGGCGGTACACTTGCCGTACCCAGCAATAACTTTCTCTTTGAAAGGAATTTTGGAGCTTTGGATTCCAGTACAAAAGAAAAATGGATATGTCTTCAAGTTTGAGAGTCAAGTCAAAGGTTCATAGTATTGATGCGTGGTTGTGGCAGATTTCTTCCTCAGTTAACATAGTGTCCTTATATTGACATTATTCGATATGTCCTTTATACAAAGTTCTGTCTCTTATACTAATGAATGTTAAATGCGTGTCACGTAAGTCGATTGAACGTACATTGTATCAGATACGGCATAACCAGAAAAGCAAAATTCGATCATGTGGCAAGTCAATAATAGGCGGCGAACTGTGAAACCAAAATCGACCCAACACGAAACATGAAACCCATATGTTTCTTGTTAATTATCATTAATGTTTAACATATGTCGAAAGAAAATATTCCTGTGTTTTCGCTTCGTTGTGCTGTAATACTGACACTGTCAACAAGTTCATTTGTATCAAACGCCAAGCCAAGCGAAACCATGCCTCGTTAAAACCAATTAGTTTCGAATCTTGAGACAGCTTTCTTGTGATGCCAGGAGATGCAGTCATGTGTGTAGATTGGAAGAACAATAAGGGCTCGTCTCAACATTTTATTGCACAAAACTACACATGTTATAATGCATGTTATACAAATTATATTAAGAATTCATACATTGCACAGCAAATAATCTGATGTGTCTACATGTCATTATCATTTATTAATACACTACACAGCACATAATCAAATTACCAATTAAGGTCCAACAAGATGTGAAACAGAATCTGCATATTGTACAGGTGTCTTTACATGGGCCAGAAGCTGGTCCTTTTCGCGTTGGAGAAGGTGTTCTAAATCTCTATACTTCTGTCGGGGAGGCTGACGGCCACCTGACAACAGCTGACTGATGGTTATCTCGGTATGATTCTGCTCTTTCTGGAGGATGCTGATGAACTTGAACAGATTCGGATGTGGATGACAAGTCTTGTTCATTTTGGCATGCCAACCCTCTACATTTGTTGTGGTTCTGGCCCCATCGTTGCTGAAATGGTTCCACATTGTTCTATCAGGTTTTTCTACCCACTGTACTGTCAAATAGTCCGCAAGCTGAAGTAGTGAAGGGTCGGCGGCTGGGTTTGCAAGGTCGGTGTCTTCAATGCCATGCCAACAGACATTATCCATGTCACCAATCCTCACCAACGGCAAGGCACAAGCACGTCTGACAAACAGTTTCACGACTGGGTCAGTATTGAATCTTGTCTGTAGTCCAATCTGACCATTTCGCCATATGGCCTGTCTGTAGTGAAACATGCAACCACGTAGTCGGCACTGAAACACTTCTGCGGCAGCTTCTTGGTGATGTAGGTTGGTCTCAGGTGAAGATTCAACTCGGCTGTCTTGCACTTGATGATGTTGACTCGGTACTTATGACCCCCATATACAAGCTCATGAGTTAACCGTGGTCACTGTTTGGGACCTATATATAGCGGTTGATTGTCTGAGTGAGATCAGTCCACCTGCCACCTTTGGACATGCTCCCTTTCCTTGTGAAAACACCACCACTGTTAATCCCCACCAGCCTGGTGGCAAAGTGAGGATAATCCCTTGTACGTTCTTAACTGTGTTTATATAAATGTCAACACTGTAATAGATTTTTCTGGGCCGCGTCTCAATCCAACCCCCTAATTCAAAGCCTAATAAACAAAAATATAAGCCCAAAAAACCAAGCCCTAGCTCGAAAACACCCTCTACTTACTCCAATATCCCAAAGAATAACCAATTACTTAAATGGACACCAAATAAACAATCTTCAACAAAACTGTAAAAAATCAAATATCTTCACCCCAAAACTTAAAACACCCAAAATAGACATAACACTAGCTAGCACAATAAATAAACAAACCGACCAAAACATAGCCAAAACCACCACACTAGCATACATACATGAAAATTGGCCAAATTGGTGTCACATTTACACAGACGGATCCTCAGATCCGATCTCCAAACACACAGGTCTCGGAGTCCACATCACACAACCAACTAAAGCCACACAATCCTACCGACTCCCAAACAATCAATCAATATTCACGGCCGAACTAATGGGCATGGCCTCAGCCCTTCATAATCAACAATCTAAAAAACAACAAAAAATCCTAATACTTACCGACTCGCTCAGTGGACTACAAGCCCTCCAAAATAAAAACACCAAAAACCGCCCTGAACTAATAAATCAGATACTAAAAAGCTATACATAATCAAACTAACAAACTTCCATACTCAGGTCCCTTAGTTCGTCCCCCAAACCCTCTTGGCATTTTTTCAAAATTTCAAAATTTTCAAAATTCCATATAAGCAACCACTAAAACATCCCTACTGGATTGCCAAACAACTTTTTCCCCTTTTCGGAAACACATTAAATGGCTTGGCCGGGCCCGTGTGCGAAATACGCTGCAGTCGGAAAGCGCACGTAAAATCTCCAATATAAGTAAGTAAGTAAGATTTTACTGTTAGAAGTATGACATGAGACACTACTAAAGCACACACCATTGTAAATGTGTTAGAGGTACAACGCTATGGTGAGTGAATATTGAATAACAGCTGGCATAACTAAAAGGTTGGTTTGACCTGAATATCCGAAAGGCGCCGTGCCTTATTTGTTATGGGTTTAAGAAAATGACATTGGGATATCGGCCATGGGGATGAATAATCATGGGAAAGATGTAACCAAACTTTTGAAAGAAACTTTATCTTTTATGTGTATAAAGATATGCGAACATACGAAATATATAAAGAATCATTTAAATATTTTTTAAACATCCCTTACAGTTAATTATTACAATCATAACAGGGGGCCACGCCATGTCCTAGACTCGGCTAGCCTGCCCCAGAGCGCTTGAGTTCATCGCCTGCAAGGGTATAACTCAAGCTTTATCCGACCTATTTCCCCATATAGCATATCGCTATGCGGGAAACGTTGACTCAGTTTCATTTAGCGAGATATTAGCACTTTTGGAGAGTGTGAATAATTGAAGTGTCACGCAATAGGAGTAAACATATTGCCATTTGAGAGATAACTCTCATTGAGAAGTAGGGTTCCTGGTTAAAAATAACAAACGCACTCACAACGTTGTTGGTTTCAATTTTGACAATATCTGCTCGTATCCATGTGCAGGTCTACTTCGTTATAAAATAATATTACAACATTGTACTATTACTTTGAAAAGATTAATTTGAAAAGTATTAATTACTTTATGAGTAAATACCACCATGATTGTGTCAACCTAATACCCCATGTTCCTTGAACAAAAATACAAACATTTCAGGATGTCATAATTGTGAGTACAAATTATGAGTTTTGTTTTCTATTTTCTATTTTTATATAACTTAAATCTTTAAACTGAAATGTGCCATATTCTCATTCCTGGTATCACATGCAAATTTTAAAATTTGTTTTAATTTCTGTGTTACACATGTGCGCAGAGGTACTTGCATCAATAGGTAGGTATGCTACAAAACATCTTTGCGCCGTGTCGATCCTCTGGATCAAAGTTCTCTTGTATATGTTGTTGTAGAAGTATAATATTGCTGTTATGACGTACATTAACATATATCTCAATGTGTCTACTTTGCAGACTGCACAGCTCCTCCTGCGGTTAAACATGCCACAGCGTCGTCCCCGGTCAGTCAGGTAACTCCAGTAAATCAGTCATTGCAGCTCGAGTGCACTGCAGGATACGTACCGTGTGGAAACGCCGTCACATGTAAACCGGATGGAACATGGACCGTTATGACTTGCAAGCGTAAGTTGAAACAACGGGGTCAGACCTGCATATATTAGTATGATAAGGAAATGTTGTTTAGAACGTAGCGTGTGAGTGAGTGAATGTAGCTTTACGCCAGTCAGCAATATACTAGCTACATCACGGGGTTTCTTGAAGAATCGGGACTAAGAAGCTGGGGACCGGTGAGATTCAAGGAAACATGGCACAGCTAAAAAGGGGGTGGGGGTCGCCATTTACCATATAAAAGGGGAGGAGTGGCCTTGAACATGTGACACAATTCTATTGTGATTAGAACAGTATTTAGTGAGTGCTACTTTAGTATAGAGATGGTGTGTGTGTGTGTGTGTGTGTGTGTGTGTGTGTGTGTGTGTGTGGAATGTTACTTGTATGGGGGCCTTGCGGAAGGGACGTGATAAAAAATGGGGGCCAATATCTTTCTACTTCTCCCCCACCTTGGTTGCAAGACATTTTACCTCCGCTTCCGTAACTATTGAAGAAATAACAGTTGATGCATGTCATCGTATCCAAATTGCGTGGATCGATGCTCATGATGTCAATCACTGGATTGTCTGTTCAAGACTCGATTATTTACAGACCGTCGTCATATAGCTGGAATATTGCTGAGTGCGGCGTAAAACGACAAACCCAGCAAACAATAAATGGATGTCACATATGTAAGGAAGAGATGCGGAAAAATACGCTATGCAGAAGGCTGCATGAAAATAAATGTTTCCCGGGCACTTTGTTTTATTTAAAATTAAAAACACGAGTGAAAAGGAAGGAAAACTATATTTTGTTTTTCCTCACCAAGCATACTAACAAACAGAGCGGAGCACACATTGAACTCGTCTCTTTAATACAATGAAAGTTGTCAAGCATTGAGAACAGCGTTTGCTTCACATCACGCGGCCAATTTAAAAAAAAGAAGTTGTTATTGGCGATACAGAACGACTGGCATGCGGAATTCAATCCCTCAGATGCCACAGAAACAAATATGTCCATTCTTTGCAACCCTCACTTTGAAACGGATGTCATAGGTTTGAATTCTACAGGGGAATTCTCTGTGCTGTGAAGCCTGTGATCTGTCATGATATCTAAAAGTGTATGGTTTCCGTATTGGCATTTGAGTTTGGTTACTCATGCACAAATCAATACCAAAATGAATTTTAGTGATCTATGGCAAAGTACAAAGGTCTAGTGAAGTAATGATGTTGTTATTAAATTATTTTACTGAACAATTTTTCATTCCCAATTAAAATTTACATTCTTAGATAGGAAACGTACTGTTCGACATCTTTACATAATTTTATAATTAAAAGTAGAACCAGTGCAGCGCGACCGCAATTCTCGCACGACTTTCACTTTGAAGAACTTATGAAAATGTTTACAGCAAAATAACCCCGCATCTAGGGGTTAGTGGTGCACCGATGCCCGGGAAACAATTTCTTTTTAGCCTTATCTAGTTGCATCTATCCCTTTCCTCTTTTCTTATTATTTACGAAATTTCATTTGCAGGTCTGTCAAACTGTGGAGATGTGCTTCAGTTTAGTCCCACGTACACTGATGGAGAATACTGGCTGTATCCACAACCACTGAATGGTGAACGTGTAAAGGTGTACTGTCATGGCATGAATAATACACCCTCAGAGTACATCTCTCTGACCACACCTTACTTCATGGATGCTCCTAGGATATCGAATTTCAATTGTTCAGGAAACGACACACCTGCTGAAAAGGACTGGCTTGGACATCATATTTATTCAAAGTTTGGCTTGGATGTCCAGGTGAGGTTGACTGCAATCAGACGTGACTGGCCGATGCAAGTCCCTATTTTGACTTGTACTATATGGCCCCGTGTTTGTTCATGTGAACACTTGACCTGCCATTACGTGTGTTTGTGACGGGTGTCACCTGTGGGGCAGCATACACTCACCTATCGCGATCACCTGGTCACATCACTATTTGATAGTAATCCATAAATACATTGTTATCCTATTCGACATCGAAGAATGAACTAATTTAGCAGAGATGTCTGACGGATATGGAAAGGATTTTGTCGCTTTTATTTCATACACGTAACTACTGAGTGAGTATGGTTTTACACCGCTTTTAGCAATATTCAAGCAATATTCAAGCAATATCACGGCGGGGGACACCAAACATGGGCTTCACACATTGTACCCATGTCGGGAATCGAACCCCAGTCTTCAGCGTGACGAGCGAACGCTTTGACCAAAAGGCTACCTGACCGCCCCTACACACGTGACTAATGTAGTAAAACTTTTACATGAGAAAGTTTAACGCATCCCGGCTAGAATTATCACTTTCAGTTTGAGCAAACGCCAGTGCCTAATGAAGTTCCCTTGCTGTTTTATTGAGAAAGCTTAATGCGAACATGCGTTTCCAGTCAAATGAATGAGTGAGTGAGTTCAAATGTAACGTCACAATCCTATCCTGGTTGCTGTTTCAAATGTCTTTTGCCGTAAAACTTTAAATCCTAAAATAACACGACCCTTACTGATAAAATTAGCTATATTTTAAACCAGAACGCCCTTTGCCCCGATATTAACATAATAACAAGTGTAATTATTACTATGAGTGTCAGTTTGGTCGCAATGATATCAAGTTAACATGTGAACTATAATTTGAAGGCATATTCCGTAAAGACAGACCTGTGCCAGTGAACATGCCAAACAATTTCTCGTTACAATCATATTGTTCTCCAACAATACATGTATGTAATTATAATTAAGAATAATTATAATTATTAATATATCTTAATTAACATTAATGACTATTATATTGATCATAATTATTACATGTATGTAATACCAAATCACGAGGTTACATTACTTAAAGAGGCACATCTACTTGCGTAAAAACCGAACTACATATTTGAAACTTGACCAGTGTTTCAGCGTCCTACGGTGATGGTATACACGTTATCATTTTATAAACATTTTATCAAGCTTGTCAAGCATAATATGTTCGATCTAATTAGTCATATCCTATCACCTAGCACATTTCAACTTTATAAATTTTCTACAGGATTCTTAAAGTGTCACACGTGATTTATTAATCACCATTTTTGTGTCCTTCATTTTGGTAATTTAAAGGGTTCACAGTCTGCAGGGCCACCTATATGATGGCATGTACTACGCTTCATTGTCCTGCTCTTATTGCTCACATGTTAGCCCTCGTAAAGGTTCGGGTTAGAAATGGCAGCCAACAGCAATGCTTGTCGTAAGGGGCGACAGACGGGATCGCGTAGTCAGTTTCGCCGACTCGTATCCCAATTGCGTATATCGATGGCCATGATGTCAATCACTGGATCGTCTGGTCCAAACAAGATTATTTATAGACCGCCGTCATGTAGCTAGGATACTGCTGTGTAGGGCGTTTAACAACAAACACAAGCTTAAGGTGTAGTCGGGACATGGGAGATGGTGGGTGAGAAATATTAGATAATACCTGAGATATAGTATGCCTATGAACACAAGCTGCATGTAAGAGGCGACTAACGGGATCGGGAGGTCAGGCTCGCAGACTTGGTTTATGCATGTCATCGATCCCAATTGCTGTGATCGATACGCATGATGTCAGTCACTGGATTGTCTGATCCAGACTCGATTATTTACAGAAAGCTGGAATATTGCTGAGTGCGGCGTTACACAACAAACGATAGGTCGTGCTGGCCTGAGAGTGACCGGATTTCCTTTAATTCTAGTGTAGTGGATACAGCATTTACGCGGAAAGCGGAAGGTCGGCGGTATGATCCCCTGGTCGCGTCATACAAAAACACGTACAAATATAAAGATGGTACGCTTTCTTACCCTGACTGGCACTCGGAATTTAGTTGAAGAAAAGTACTGGTTGGATCTGAGTCAGTACAATGTGTCTGACTAGTATGTCCATGTTAAAGTATGACACGGTATATCAGTGGGCTAAAACGGGTCAAAGTCTGTATTTGTACGAGCAGCTGCACACACAGGACATTGTGCATGCACGTATTCATATAAATGAAATTATCTTAAACGCGACGTTAAACCCAAATTTACCTAACCTCATCATACATATGGTAACACATCGCATCTGTCTCAGTGCAGGTACTATATGTTTTTAAAGCATTTGTATAATAAATATGTTTTCAGACCATGGAAATCAGACAATCGGATGACGATTTCTACAGCAAGGAGGGGAACAAATCTGCAAGAGTGGGTGAAGTCCGAGACTGCTACTCTCGTAATTGTGGCCCAGTAGGCCGTGCGGTGATAGATCTGAGAGGGACCGGATTTTCTCTTGATACTGGCGTAAGTTTTCTTCAAATCAGTTAGAATTACTGCCGCTAGTTCTGTGTCAATCCGTTCTGAAACAGTGAACTGCGAAACCATTTTCACTGGAAACTAGAATGGTCGCAGTAGATCATAACTAAACACAGCATCAGGTTCTAGTTTCGGCTCTGTGTTTTTGGCAAAGTTGGTTGTAACATACGTTATATCTTAGTATTATGACCGAATGTAGCTTGCCCATTGCCTCCGTAGGGATGCCAGATAAGAATAATTCCCCAGCAACTTAAGTATTATTATCGCAAGAGGCGACATAATTGGTGGTCAGGATCGGTGTCATCGTAGCCCGTTGAAATGAAAGTAGTTCATGATATCAATCACTGGTTTGTCTGGTAACGATTCGGTTATTTAGGGCTCGCTCATATAGCTATAGCCGTGTGTGGTGCTAGTCAATAAGAAAACTAACAAACTTGTCTATTAATTAATGAAAATGTTTCAGGTAACATGGAAGATGCTTGGTAAATGGGGTCCGAACGTGACGCGATCATCAAATGGCCAATTGATCGAAATTAGGTGTGGAGGATATTGCGGTGTGTGTAAAGTCAACGGTTCTCTGTCCCTCTCATTTGCTGAATCTGATGGTAAGTATATTCATTAAGGTAACAGTAAGTGTGATCATATACATAATGAATTTGGAATCCGACACTGTTGGTTGCATATAATTATGTCGGATTAACGAGTATGTCGGATAAACGAAATTAGGTATTATCAACGTTCGTGATCGAAAATTGGACAACTACACGATAGATAACGATTCAAACATGTTGTAATAAAAAAAGGAAAAAAGGAAATATTCATATATTGTTGTGTTACATTGTTCGCGGAATATGTTTTCTAATTATGCAACCTCTAAAGTTTAACACAAAACACAAAGTTTATCTCTGCAGCCGTTTAAATATGCAGCTACTCGCCGACTCGTCTCGCATCAAAACACGGGGCTATGTACTCGCGGGCAGATGACCATGGAGTACGCTGATCACCGTGTCGGATTAACGAGACTGATTGATGAGTGATTTCAGCAATTCGTTGCAAATTAGGTTTGTCGGAGTCGGAGTGCGAGACTGTCGGATTAACGGGTCTAAACAGCACTGATTTAATCGGTTCCCATCATTTGTGTCGGATAAAGCCGATTGTCGGATTAACGAGTGTCGGATAAACGAGACTTGACTGTTTGTAGATATGAAGGTATATATAGATAGATAAGGTTGGTCTTCTATACATTAATTATTATATACATATTTCATGTATACCACTGGTCAAGACACCAGGACCTCCGGGTAGCTCGATGTCATTATGGGACAAGGAGACATTTACCCTCTTTAAATCCGATGATGGACATGTTTTATTAGGGGATGGGAATATGTAGAGAAGGTTCATTAGTTGTGTACAGAATGCATAACTTTCTTGTTACAATTTGGATTCGCATTTGTGAATTTCGATTACTGTTGAGTAATTTAGGCCTCCAGAAAGCTATACTATATACAATTTCCCTCTCATAAATAAGTCGTCAATAATAAAAGAGACAAAACCCTTTCCATATTCATAAGAAATCCGATTGTACGATTCCGATTATATCATACAGTTATTAATGAATCATGCACAGACCATTCAGATTCATTGATGTTGATGCTACTGCGATTGATGCTGGAGTTGTAACTTTGTTTTCAATATCAGAAACTTGCTTATAAGGAGAGTCTCCTATTGTCGATGACAGATCTGTCTGACGTTGGACTGGTGCTATTTCAATTGTTTTAGCTGTCTTAACTACGGAAGCAATAAGAATCCCTTTTTAGTTTGCAAATGCAACTAATCTTGTTTCCTGACATCGGCGTAGCTGATCATTTGCTCAAATCTGATTCTCTGTACAGTGGATTGACACTTACATTCACTGCAGTCAGTTTTTATGATATATGATCACCTTGAGAGGAAGCGCATTGTGGGATGTTCACAGGCATGGAGGAACAAATAACTTAATTGGTTGGTTGGTTGGTTTGTTGTTTAACGCCGCACTCAGCAATATTCCAGCTATATGACGGCAGTCTGTAAATAATCGAGTCTGAATCAGACAATCCAGTGATTAATATCATGAGCATGGATCCACGCAATTGGGATCGATGACATGCATCAACCAAGTCAGCGAGTCTGACCACCCGATCCTGTTAGTCGCCTCTTACGACAAGCATAGTCACCTTTTACGGCAAGCATGGGTTACTGAAGACCTATTCTACCCCAGATCTTCACGGGTCAAATAATAGCTTGACAAGGACCCGAGGCCAAGTGCCCGTTTCAGAAATCAATAACCCTGCTACTATTTCAGCGTCAGATGAATCAAAGTCAGAATTAGTTTCTGAAAGTTACAAGCCTGTCCCCTGCCCTCCATTTAGCACAAACAGGGGCACCATATGTCAGCTGCATTCCAGCAAACATCATAAGGACACAGTTATGTTATACTCGAACATAGCCAGAGGATCAACCAGACTGTGGCCCATGAGCCAACGCCTTCTGAGTATATTATCTTGGCAAGTTTCTTAAATAACGTTATGAACAGAAGACTATTTGACAATTAGGTTTTTTTTAGTCAAACCATACAGAAAACTTCATACACATGGCTTGACATAATCAGCCAATTGATAGAAACTGGTCCATTGTAGGAAGTGAAGAAGCCCGAAGAGGAGCACAGTTGGTGCCAATGGGCATGCCCCTTCTGCATGACTTAATGTCATAACCCAAGCATTGTCATTTCACATATTGTTTTATAAGTAAACTGCAGATTGCATTTGCTTCCATTTTAACAAATTGATCTAAATCTCTGAATATAGATATGCAACTATATCTATACTCAACAACAAAAGTTCCCGTGACACCAATATTTTAGTGTATTTTTCAAACAAGTAAAGTTTGGTTTTCAATATTGTGGTACATGTTTGGAATCAAGTCACAAAAACGCAACTGCTACAGAAAGATTGGGTATGATACATGTGCGTTAACGGGATTCCATATGCATTGTTTAGCATCGTGCTGACAACGACCACTCAGAAAAAACAAAAAAGTACGCAATTATTCAACATTACGAAATGCCACGTCTGTCCGAAAATGAGCGTCTGCGAGCAATGGGTATGCTTGGAGCGGGCAAATTAAACCATTCGAACACTTACAGGAGTCTTATATCTGTTGCAAACCGAAATTGTTTCAGATTTGGTAAAAAACATAACTTTGCATTAAGTCTTATTCAATGTCCGTGCTCGTGGGTTTCACCGAAGTGGTAAACGTCTAAGACCTGCATCACCTCAGGCTTTCCTCCCACATTAAGCTGACACGCCGTGATATAACTGGAATACTGTTAAAAGCGGCGTTAAACCCAACTCACACACATTATTCAATGTCACAGGAACCTTTGTTGTTCAGTATACATGTATGGTAAACAGATATGTAACAGTATGTATGGTCACCAAGTTTTGTAAAAAAATGCTAGAAATATACCTTCGGTCGCATTTTTTTTTTTTTTTTTATATTTCAGCTCCAGCAGAGAACAGTGCTACGGTCCCTACGTGTGCATGATGAGCAAGTCACCGTCCAATTCTCTTTGTTCATGGTTTGAATTTCCACTATTACCATTAGGGTTGCAAGCCGAGAGGATGGAAGCCCTTTTGTAATCATCGGAATATTTTTATTATCATTATTTACGGATTTAAATAAAAATGGAGCAAAGAGCGTTTGGGTGATCCTGGCACAGTCAGGCTGTTTAGGCCCATCGTCAGGGCCCTTGACCTCTATACTCGCAGCCTCCGACAGCGAAAGGATAGGGTCAGGTTTATTGGCCTGGATAGGTCTGAGGCTGTATACAGGCTTATTCCAAAGAATTTTGTATGACGCCATCTACGTTGTCTATATGAGGCGGTAATAAAAAGATCGAGCCACTTCATACTGTGTGTGTGCCAAAGCTGATCTTGTCCTTTTTGATAAATCCAATACAATAATAATAACATTAGATTTTCTGTCCCTTTTGACACTAATGTGATTGATAAATTCAGGAAAAACATGAAATGTCTCGAAATGCTTGCATCCCAAGACCACATTGTTCTCGGTGTCATAGGTTTGGTACCCCCTAATCTGTAGACGGACGTTGGGAGAGTATCCGGGGTTTACAGCCCTTCTGACAATCTGGGTAATGCTGAAGGATGCAGTGTTGGGGAGTCTTCAAATTCGTCGAACAATTCTGGGTTGGTTCGACTAGGCAGCGCTTCCTGGAAGAAGTCCCATTCGCTGTCTAATAATAATAATAATAATATGTGGTTTTGAGACAGAGGTCCATCCATGGTACGGCCCAGAATATGTAGAGAGCGTCATGGAAAATGATAAATACAAAAGCCTTTGGAATAGGCCCGTATACAGCCTCAGACGTATCCAGGCCAACAAACCTGATCTTGTCCTTTTTGATAAATCCAATGAAATCATTTATATCATTGAACTTTCTGTCCCTTTTGACACTAATGTGATTGACAAGATTCAGGAAAAACATGGAAAATATGTGGACCTCGCTTTCGAAATGTCACGCTTGCGTCCCAAGTACCAAGTTGTCCGACTACCCATTGTTCTCGGTGCCTTAGGTTTGGTACCTCCCATTACCAACTACTTCTGTACTCGAATGAGTACAGTTTGAAACGAAAACCTTGGTTATCAGGAACCACAGTACTGACAGAAATAGTTTGTCAAGTTTACTAATTTAGTTGACCCCTGATTATCCGGGGTAGAATAGATTTTCTGCTACACATGCTTGCCGTAAAAGGCGACTATGCTTGTCGTAAGAGGCGACTAACGGGATCGGAAGTCAGGCTTGCTGACTAAGTTGATGCATGTCATCGTATCCCGATTGCGTGGATCGGTGCTCATGATGTCAGTCACAGGATTGTCTGGTTCAGACTCGATTATTTACAGACCACCGTCTTATAGCTGGAATGTTGCTGAGTGGGGCGTTAAACAACACACAAACAAACAACTAATTTAGTTGGTTAATTTCACTGTCCACTCAGACACTAACCTGTTCGTAGACTTTACTACTCATTAAGTATTTTTTCACTAGGTGGCTTATCGTCACGAGGTCAATGGGATATACCGTCGTTGTCTGCATCCTAAATGAAAGCAATGCTATTAGGCATACAGCAACAACACAAGTATGAACACAACGAATTGTATACTTCGGTGGGATTCGAACCTGCAACCCCTTGATGTGTAGTCCGTCACGTTACTACCTGTGCTACGGAGAATGTTGTACGAATATCAGTTATCCTAGTCACCGTTAGCTTGGTTTATTTATATTCTAAACATATTTGGATTATGTGGATGCTGCGTTTACGTGGTGTTGAAGCTATGGGGCGATAGGTCATTTCATGTGTTTAGACCCTGAACGTGTTGAGATAGAACACACCAAATATGCATACCGTTCGGGATTGAAACACATTCCTAAACTTGTCTTGTATGTGTTTAAATTCTTAACATATTATTGACAGTGTGGTTTAAGTAGTGCATTATACTAATTTCGTGAGTGATATCTACAAATGTTCAGCATCTTCGTACAATCGTTGTTTACTAGCCACCTGGCCGATGTGACTGATTAAGTTGGTACAATTCACTAGATGTTTCTCCCAGTGAGAGGCAGTAAGACAGGAACTTGTATGAAATAATATAACTATGTGAAGGTTGTTTGAAATCTGTTTAAAGCAAGACGGTTCAACATTTAGCGTTTGCCTTGTACATTGGTGTGAAAATACCGTTTCCTACTGTTTGACCTGCTGCAAGGCATGTGCTTAATCATTAATGACGCATTGAGAGTTGGAGTACAAGGTAAGGATAAGATATGTGGATGAACAATTTCTTTATAACAATTAGGAGCGACGTTTTGGTGAAGGTTCTACAGTTATCACTTGCTTGATATCCATATGTTGTTCATCCATAGATCTTTTCCTCAATTAATGACGCGATTGTAATAAAGCTATCACAACTGACGATTGTTTTGTTCAGTCTTTCATATAGACGGAAACAGAATTCAATGAGTTCGATAAAGATGTTTCAGTTTCGGTGCTAGTTTCTTACGTTCCTTTTGTGCCCACGTTAAGGTAGACAACAGCAGCTGAAGTGTCGCAAAACATAGGTGTTGTTGTTCCTGTGCTAAGCAATTTCACATCACAAAACTATGGGAACGTTTTTCTGCCGTTTATGTATATTGGTTATAACACTCTGTCGGCAATGTCATGATGGGAGACACAGAGAATATTTTCTTCACATTTTATCCATGGGAAACCGAATTCGGACGAACGAACGCTTTCCAGTTTGCAAGATGAGTTGGTTTGTTGTTTTACACCGGAGTTTGCAAGAGTTATGAGGATAATGTAGGGATGCAATGTTTGAATAGATGCATATTTTTCTTGACTTAGTTTCAGCCCTAAACCAGTGGTTTGTTTTCGGGCTGCTTTGTAAGTCCGATCCAAATCCCTCCAATGTCCATAAGGAGAAACGAAGGGCCTGGTGGTGTACTTGGCAAAGTCACTGAAAGTTTGATCATGTGATGGGTCCGTATTCCGTGAAAAGCGAGTGAGTGAGTGAGTTTGGTTTAACGCCGCTTTTTTAACAGTATTCCAGTTATATCGCGGCGTGTCAGCTTAATGTGGGAGGAAAGCCCGAAGTGATGTCTCAGACGTTTACCACTTCGGTGAAACCCACGAGCACGGGTGTGGTGCTGACAAGCCTAGAAACATAATCGGGGCGAACCGGGATTCGAACCCACAATCATAGGTGACGCAACTCTGCGTAGCGAATCGCGGCGCCTTAGACGACTGGGCCACCCGTGCCCCCCCCCCCCCCCCCGTCATTCCGTGAAGATGGTTCCGACGTTTTCACCGCGTATGAGGCTGTTAGGAGGTACATGTACATGTATCATCTTATCTCTGTGGTGGGTAACATTAACTGCTCACCTGTCAGTGAATGGGAACCCGGTAGGATGAGATAGTCTTGCGACTGTTAACATTAAAGCACGTCACAGGCAGCTTGGATATAGTCCAGGGAGCTGAGAATGAAAATCAAGTACACACTGATTTATTGATCGGGGTAGTACTAATATAGGACCATGAGCATTCACTTGGTATATGGAACTACTCGCATTATAAATGGACCGATTATATTCTTTTCTGTCACTTTTTTTTAGTAATGCCTTCTAGAATCTGCCAAAGGACATCAACCACTTTGATGTGATGGATTTTCCTGCCGCTCCATCTGATCTCAGTCGCATTTTCTTTGAACAATGCTTCTTGACGCATGGACATAAGTCATGACAGTATACGTATGAAATTAGTTCCACCGGTAGGTTCAAGCAGAGGAGCAGATTATGAATAGCATGTATCCTTAGTAAACACGACATACGGACACATCCATCAACCGCGTCACAGAATCATGTAAGGGTACTATTCCACAGTTATGGTAATTTATGATTTTACACAATAATCATTTTTTTAATTATTTCCCTCAGCTAGGTGATCAAAGAGCTTTAGATTTTGCAGTAACTAGCTCATGGATATACAAACATATGACAATACACATTCTAAAATCCTACGCAGTACATTTTAGGATAGTTTCTGTAATCATCACTACAACAGGGAATATATAGGAATACATATAAAAAAGCACGTCACTTGATTATATCAAGACACTATGTATGCAGTTTATATTAGTTAGCAGTTATAATAAAGTATTCAACTTATACTTCTTTTTCTGTAACTATGGCATCAGGGTTACTTGGTTGATTCATGTCATCATATCCCAAATGCGTGGATCGATGCTAATGATATCAATCACGGGATCGTCTAGTCCACACTCGATTATTTACAGACCGCCGTCGTGTAGCTGGAATATTGCTGGGTTCGACGTAATAGCAATCAAACACGAACGTTTTATGGATCTATCGATAGTAGACTGCGTATGCAAGAAGAATGTGTCCCAGATCGTTTTTCCAAACACTTAAGATACTCTACTCACGTAAATGCACAAACTTCATAGATAACAGACCCGTGAAATCCGAGTTAGAATAGGTCTTCAGCAACCAATGCTTGCCGTAAGAGGCGACTTTGCTTGTAAAAGGCGACTAACGGGAAAAGGTGGTCAGGCTCGCTGAGTTGATTGATACAAAGTGTTGCATAATTTTATTTTGTTATGTCAAAGATAATAAGCAAGTTTGAGAAAGTAGGCATACGTTTAATGTAGATAACATACTTTGTGAGTATGTTCTGATCAAACTATCTACCACATGTCCAGGATTCTTAAATCTCAGATAGTGTGAAGACAAATACAAACAATACAGATGTTGTTTTTTATATAATTAATTGTAGCATTTGCAGCGTTTTCATAATTCGCCACACCGATATTCAGAGATAAACCTCTTTAAAATATGGTATATAACCGTCATGGTATAAAATCTATTAGAATGTCATGGCAGAAAACTTCTTTTCATCAATTACTCAAATAGCATATGATGTCCTGTAGGGCACCGATTCTTAATCTGTGAATCAAATCCTCGATTGCAAATCTTATATCCAATAAATCCTGAGCGTACCGTTATCTATCAAAATTATGATAAAAAAACTAATACAAAAATTTCAACAAGGTAATTAGTTATCTTACTATTATGATAATGTGCCCTCCGGATGTATGAAGGTTATCGCTTTCATTGATCCCTTATATTATTGTTTCCATTTGTCAGGGTTATTCAGGTTTTGAACGTTTTCCGTTATACACATTTATAATTAGTGAATGAGCTATCGATGGTACTTTCGACCATAACTCAATTCAGAAACTAACTGATAAACTAAAAGGTAAAATGTACATATCTGTCGTCACAACAAATCTTCATTTCACTAAGACTGATTATTGTGCTTCATCACTGCTCCAGTGATCTATTGATATAACTTCACCACTAGAAATGTGAATTTAAAATGACTGTCTATCCGGTTCTGTTTATACTATCGATTTCAAATGCCCCATACAATTCCACTGACACCAATGCTAGTGCGTTACCACTGTCTATCAATATTCTGGTGCGTTACCGCATCCTATCAATCGCGGGCAAGAACAGCATTATACCAATGATTCTCTTTCAGATTTCGTTATTTGGTCTCACAATCATCAAATGTCGATGAGACCCTATACGTGTCATGCCTCCATAAGTTTACTGTTCCAAGGGTTATAAGCACCATCCATAAGAAATATACATAAACATATATACTTGAAGGCGCGCTAACTGGAACACGTTACTTTGACGAGGCCTGTGTATTTCTCCC